AAACCCCCCCCGCACCACCCCCAAAAAGTTTTTTTTTTTTTTTTTTTTTTTAGCGGCTTGAGTGTTGCGGCCACAGCCCTTTAGCCAGCTCTCTGTAGGCAGGAAATAGGGGATTATAAACGTTTTGCAAGCCTCATTAGTTACATGTTGTGAGCCTGCGTGAAGATGACAGAAAAATGCACACCAAAAAAAACAAAAACAAAAACAAAAACAAAAAACAAAAAACCCACTGCCAACAAAAAGTATAAATTCACAGACATATATTAGCTTACCTGAGTGCTTTATTTTCTCAGCAACATAGAGACCTTGGTGACCTCCTCCTCCTACTGTATATGACATGGGACCTGTCTCGTACTGCATAGTGAGACCTGTTTCTGATCTTGCCTAGCTTTGCAGTCCTACAGTGTTTTACTGTAAACATTTTTTCAAGCATTTTTCTCCATAACTTCTACCCACTTTGCAGTCTGTAGCTTGCGTATTTTATGCAGATGGTTGTAATGCACTTGACTGAAGCTTTTTGTACACTGAAGCTATGGGAAAAAATAGATAAGAAATTTAAAGAAAGGTTGCTGTAAACAAGATGGTGTGAAGTGTATTAGAAGGATTCTTAAAGTCTAGAGAGTTCCTTGCTTTTAAGTGGCAATTAGTATGGGATAGCAGTAATGCTGTTGGTGTTACAACTTAGGTGACTGTCCTTATTATATATTTACTTATATGAAGACACATTTCTTTGTTCTTTTTTGGCAAGTTTGATTAAAAACACTGCAGGGGTACCCTTCCCCCAAATGCCAAGTCTCCCAAAGCCAAAGCAAATATGGGATTATCACGTGCACCTTTGTATGACCCACTTGAGTAAAGGAATTTTGCAAAATAGTTACCAGGAGCACAAGTGTTTTGTACTAATTAAACATTTGCATTCTGCCAGAATTGTTGATTACTTGCTGTGTGTACGTTTTGCAGTAGTTCAGAGAGATCCTGGTTCCTCTTTGTAACATATTCCTGTTTCCTCATGTTGCCCATGTGACCTATAGATTTAATATCCAGCCTATTGCTAGCAGTATGACCTCAGAAACAGAATATAAAGCCGAGCCATTCCTTACAAAGAAAAACATATTACTACAAGCTTAAGATTTTTTTTTCCGTGTCTTTCTTTGGTGTGTTTCTTAGTGTTTCAGACAGACGTCCTACTGTCTGAGAGGCTGAGCTCTCCCCATACCACTGAGCAGTCCACGGGAGCTGGTAAAAAAATTTCAGGGGGAAAGTCATACATTTTGCCTTTAGCAAAGAAGGGCTGGAGTTTATTATTGTTATTGTTTTGTTTTCCCAGCATTCTCACCATCTATCAGGCCAACTGCCCTTGCAGGCCTTACCTTGTTCTCTCATTACACCCCATTGGTGTCCATCCAAGAAACTCATAAGCTGATCATTAAACCATAAATGTTTGTAAGTCAGGGGTATATATTTTTGTCACAAACAAGAGACCATTCTCAGATATCCCTATTAGCAAATATAATATCAGGAAAAAAAAAAAAACAAAAAAAAAACATCCTGCCTGGTTGTCCATAGGTTCTCCTCAGGGCATTTTCCGATTTCTTCCTGACGGTGGTAGGAAAGAGGTTGGTGGTGGTCTGCTGTGTTCCCTTAGGCCCCATTCGTGTGGGTCTGTCACCCTGGTTAGTTCTTGATGCTGCCAGCACTGATGTGCCACCATCTTCAGGTGATTGAGGTCTCTTGATCGCTCTTACAGGATGGATTTACCCCGGAAAAATTCTTCTGAAGCCAGGATGAGGCTTCTAGTTGACACTGGATCTAAATCCCATGGCCCAAGTCAGGTCACATGGAGAGTCTGAACACTGTAAATCCTTTTCAGGGAAACATTTACTTCAGAAATTCACTTTACATTTGCAGGGAAGGACCTATCTCCATGCTTTCTCTCTGCACCTTTCCTGATAGCTTGGGCAGTGAGCCACATCACAAAATCTCCCTGTCACTGGGCTTGTGTCTACATTGGGCAACTGAATTGAGCTTACACTGTCTGAAAATAATTCCCAATCTGTTGTGCTCTGTCTATACTTGAGATATGAAAAGCAGCAGTTACAAGATGCTGATCCATTGTTTTTAAATGGTCAAGCGAGAAGGGGCAGCAAAGTTTCCCACATATTTATGTCTTTTCCTTGAATGATCTAATGAACTTGTTATCTAAGTAGGTGTAAAGCCTGGTCAAAATACACTTTTTTTTTTTTTTTTTTAAAGCTGAGGCTCTAGGAGTCCAATTGTCTGGTTGTCTCTTTTCACTAAATGTTAGGGCTTAAGATGTCTTTGGACCTTCATCATATGTCAAACTCAGCTCAAAAGTTCAACGGAGTCAAAAGCTATGGAGAAGAGACCATTTCTGCATCCATGTTATTGTTACCTAACCCTCCTTTCTATGGGTGATCAGGTTAAGAAATGCCTATTATCTTGTCTTAATACCCTTCTAACCAAATATAAGAAGGTCATCAGGGTTAAACATCAGCCCAAATCAGGCTAGAAGCATTGGTGACTGTCATGTCACAGAGGAAAAATGTGCCCCATTCAGTAAAGTCAGAAACAATTTAGGCAAAACCACAAGAAGAGGAGTCAGGGAAGGAAAAAAAAATGTCAGGGGAATGCAAAAGTGACAGGAGAACATGAAAATCACATGCTGAACTGAAGAGAAGGGCTCACTGATAAGGGATGGGAAGGGAATAAGATGGGATCAAGCTTTTGGGTGCGAAGACGACAAAAAGATCACCATGGTGGTGTCCTAGCCAAAAGCAGCTTCTGCAGAGAGTGGTACAGTATTGGAACTGTAAGGCAAGACTGAACAGGACCTGCACGTGTGGCTACATGGACCCTGTTGCCCTTAATAAGGGTGGTCCCTGATTGCAGCCATACTTTGGAAAACATACTTTCGCATTCCTGTCCACCAGCCAGAATGACTCAGCCCCATGGAGCTGTGGGCAACCCTCCTGCGATTGGGAGTCAGAGAAGCAGGCCACCATTTCCACCACTTCTGTTGAGGAAATTCTCAATACGCTGGGTTAGGTCACAACAGATCTATGTAATGTATAAAATTTATATGTTATATAGATCTGCTATGACCCATTTTATATAGCTGTATTTTACTACAGCTAGCTATAGGAGAGAGCACATGGAGGCAAAGGTATCAGTAAGCCTCGCCTACATAGTCTCCGCCTACCAAGCAGGAACAAAGTCTTTTATGTACATAAAAGACTTTCTTATTTGAGAAGCCTCTTGAACAATCAAAGGCCATAACTAAAAAAAAAATTCCTTTTATGGCATGTTATACATGTCTTCTGCCTTGAGGCTGGTTAGAGCCTGTTTTAAATGAATAATTCAGTGCTAGAATAGTGAAAACAATTGCCTCAAATCCCTATATAGTATATAAACCTTAAAACCTTATGGGTTGGGCCTTATGGGGTTGTTAAAAAAACACTTAAAATAAACCTTACAAAATCTGTATGTATACACAAACTGCTGCAACTCTTCCACTTGGAGAGTACCAGTCTTGCATCTAAAGTGTGGTAGAAGAGCTGCAGATGTCTAGATGCCTAAGGCTCCTAGACAGGACCTCTCATTTGCTTAGGCCACTATGTCTTTTCATTTTCTTTTGACTCTGTGGTCCCTCATTCAATTTATATGAATATAAACATATCTATTTCTTACTTCTCTTGCTTAGAGCTTCCCGCATAGCAAGGGAAATACTGTGTACATGTTTGACCTTTTGGTGTCTTGATGAATGGTTCCAATTTAAACAACAGTTACAAAAAATACCAGACAACATTTAAGAAAAAAGTATAAAAACTACTATAGCACAGAATTATAAGAAATCTGTATACAATTTTAAGTCCTAGATTCCCAAACTCCACAGCCCAAGTTCCACAAACTCCATCTGTCTTCCTGATGCAGTTGTGCAGCTGCTTTATGAATTCTTGACAGAATATCATTTATATTTTCCTTAATCTCAGAGATATAAATGCAACATATTGGATTAATTTATTTAAAAAATATTAGCACAACATGTAGCCAAATAAGTAACACCTATTATTAACTGAAAGATTTCAATCTATCAACAACTATCTAGACCTAGATTGTAAACGCTCTAAGTTGACTGATATACATATAATGACCTATCCACTGGATGATCTGTGTTCCTCAAAAAAAAAAAAAAAAAAAAAGATGTCTTTTCTTTTGGTGAAATTCTCTTGCACTGCAATGTGAATTCAGGCAAGTCCTTGCACTTCAGCGCAAAGTGATTAGCAGTACTTGGCAGGGTCCTTTCCACCCCGACTTTAAGGTATTCTTCCACTGAAACATTTTAATATACACAGTCTCCTGGCTCTAGGGAATGACAAAGTTCAGCAGTTGGTTCTATAAAGCCAGAAGTACCTGTGTATGGAGAGATCTTACACATTTTGTTAAGCTTTATAGTATTTCAACACTACCTCCTCATTAGTTAGTTAGAAATAGTTTGAGACAAACCGAAAAGTCTCAAAGTCATTTGAGTCTATGAAAAGTTTTATTTTTGTGTCTTCCCTATTGCTCACCATAGAGTCTAAGACTTGCGCTACAGAAATACAGTTTTCACTTCAGTGCTAAGTGGAGGATTAGATAAACAAATGAACTGTTACTCAATGCTCAGTAATGTGCTTTTTATTAGTTATATACAAGGCTGCTTTTTATCAAAAGGCTGTTATTTATTAATATTTGTTTGAGAGAGGAAGGGCAAAGATCTGTTTTAGTGTTTATGGCCTAAAAGTTTTTAATCGCTGGAGAACTGACTGATATGAGAAATTATCCCTTGGTATCAGGGTAGGGGACCATTTTCTTTGCTTTGCTTTGACAAGTTCCAAAGCTAAGCAAAAGTTTGTT